AACAACCTGTACCAGCCTACCTGTACCTAATTACAGCCTACCTGCCTTATTTGCTATCTAACACCTCACTAACTAGCCTACCTGTACCTTAATAACTAGCCTACCTAACACCCTGTAACTAGCCTACCTGCCTTAGTTCTAGCCTACCTAACACCCTGTAACTAGCCTACCTGTACCTTAATTAACTAGCCTACCTAACAACCTGTAACCAGCCTACCTGTACCTTAATTAACTAGCCTACCTAACAACCTGTAACTAGCCTACCTGTACCTTAATTAACTAGCCTATCTAACACCCCACTAACTAGCCTACCTGTACCTTAATTAACTAGCCTACCTAACAACCTGTAACTAGCCTACCTGTACCTTAATTAACTAGCCTATCTAACACCCCACTAACTAGCCTACCTGTACCTTAATTAACTACCTTACCTGGGCACTAATTAGCACGGCATCTCAGGTAAGAAGTGCCGCGACAACAGCCCTTACTGCAGCTTTTGGGCTCAAGCTGGTGAGTGTACAGCTAATGCCAGCTATATGACCATCTTCTGTAAGCTGTCTTGTGTCCTCTGTGATGACGCAGGTAAGCTTTTTTTGTAAGCTTTGTGTTAAGCTGAGGGGTGTGTTTTAAGTTGGGGAATGTTTGTGTTTTTTTTTGGTTAAGTTGGGGGTGTTTTTGTAAAGCTGGGGGGTGTTTATGTTAAGCTGAGGTGTGTTTTTGTTAAGCTGAGGGCGTTTGTGTTCAGCTGGGGGTGTTTTTGCTAAGCTGAGAGGGTGTTTTGCTTATGATGAGGCTGTTTTAAGCTTAATTTATATATGTTTTCAGCTTAATTCACACTCACCAAAGAAAACGTGACTAATTTTCGTTTTCTATGATGAATTTAAGGACTAACTCTTTCATTTTCCTTTCAGTTGTCACCGAAACGTGTGAGGATAAACACAAGTACTGTCTCGCTTGGTCTGAGTCTGGCCAATGCCGTACAAACCCAAATTACATGTTATTGTACTGTAAACAGGCTTGTAAACAATGTGTAAACAATTTTGAGGTGGTGTAAACATTGTAAACAAAGAATAATACGAGTTTAATGGCTATTTCTTGATTCAATTGATTGTTTGATATTGTTTGTATACCTGTACTGTCTAGGTATAATATTAAGTAATGTAAATTTGTATGGTAATTTTCCTGAATAAATAACTATTAAACAAGATACAAAGATAATGATTTGACTAAAAATTCCCTCATTACGTCACTCCCCTCAGCCCCTATCATGACCCGTCTATTATGTGGGTTTTTAATATGTATGTATTATGTAACCACACACACATACATACACACATACAACCACACATACACCCACATTAACCTAATCTAATAGCTGTAATATTAAACTAGCAAATAAAATATACTTAACAAATAGCTTAAGTAAAGACTATAAATTTAAGTAATAAATAAATTTCACTTATATATCTAATTCTTATAAGTAGAAAAATACCTAAAATTATTACTTTTTTGGGGGTATAATTATAGGTATTATAATTATCGTTACTAGATAATTATTTCATATATAATAGCTATATGAACGAAGATGAAAGGTAATATTATGAATTTGGGGTAAATATAGGAATTCGAGATCACCCCTAAGAGGAAAATCAAACAAGAATTCAATTTATCTAAGTTTTCCTCATAGACCCAAGTTGTCACGCTGGCAAGACTGTAGAGCATTTAACGCCACTCTTAACTACCAATAGCAGTGAGAGGTAGAGATAGAGAGTGAGAGAGAGAGAGAGAGTGAGATAATGGAGATACGTAAGAATCGTCTGGGATTGAGAAGGTTATCATTACGGGTGTTTGTGATCTGTTCGGTTCTCCTGATGAGTTGTGTTATCTTGTCTCAGGTGATGTGAAATGTCTTGTTTAATGAGATATATTGTTTTTACCCTATTCTAACCAAATCTAACCTAACCCTAACCAAATCTAACCTATTCTAACCTAACTTAATGCTATCTTAACGTAATCTAACGTAATATAACGTAATCTAACATAATGTAGCACAAACTTAACATAATGTAATGCTACCTTATTATTATTATTATTATTATTATCATTATTATTATTATTGTTATTATTGTTATTATTATTATTATTATTATTATTATTATTAATGTTATTATTTTTATTATTATTATCATTATTATTGTTATTATTACGTTTTGTTGAGTCATTTTCCTTATATTCTAGGAAAAATAATTTAGCCCAGTAAATGTTTTAGCTCAGCGGTAACTAATGTAAATATTTTTGATCCACAGAGAGGAAACGAGTCTACCCAAATGACAATGAACGAAGCTCGCTGGCGTGTCAAAGGCCCGCTCTCCCTAAATGACTCAAGAGTTCTATCCATTTTAAGACAATACCATCTATCCCCACCATCCATCTATCCTTATAACCTATCCACCGATCCATTATACACTAAGATGAGATATTATGGTGGATGGAAGTTTATATATAACCAGATTGAACAGATATTTGGCGATTATCATGGAGGCTTTTTTGTCGAAGCGGGCGCGTTGGATGGTGAGAAGCTGTCTAATACGCTTTGGTTAGAACAAAAACTTAATTGGACAGGACTATTAATAGAACCGAGTCCGGAGAATTACGCTAAGCTGGTTAATAAGCGGAGGAAAGCTTGGATATCACATACATGCTTATCCACAGCTAAATATCCAGAAGAACAAGTGATGGTGACTTTACTGCGAAGATATCTAAACGAAGATCAAGTCACCCGCGTAGTCAATGACCACCGGGGGTCTTCCTATCTCCTGGGAACATCATTGGAAACAAATATTTACGATAAATTATTCCAAAACTCTGATAAATCGTATTCTCTTGTTCAATGTTTCCCTTTAGCGTCTTATCTCATGGCTTTGAATATAACTACGGTTGATTTCTTATCATTAGACATCCAAGGTGCTGAAAAAGATGTCTTGAGATATATTCCCTGGGACAGTGTCAATATACGGGTCATGGTTATAGAGGTTGTGCATTACGAGACGATGGACCGCCATTTTGTTGACGTCATCACCAGTAAGGGCTACGAACTCATTTATTTCAGATCTGAAGATTATATATTTATTAGAAAAGGTGATCCATTAATACTCAAACACAATATATCTATGATTTATGTTTAATTATTGTGGTTATTTGTAATTAATTTAACCCCTTTTAATACAGTGACGACATTTAATTAGATATTCACCTCAGAAGTAACACTGTACACAAGGGATTAAATTAATTTCAAAATTATACATAAAACGAGTTATGTATAATTCATGTATTCATTCTATGTATAAATTGTATCCATTTTCATGTGATGTATATATGTGTGTTACCTTCAGTGTATACAATAAGGTGAATATTAATACATAGTTCATAAGTATTCTGTGGCTGGTACGTGTATGTGTGTCTGTAATTTTAACGTTATTGAATAAATTTAGCTATTCATATTGTCTGAAATCCCCACAACAATAAAACAATCTTATAAATAAAAAAATTCCTAACTGAATGAAAAAATAGCCGAACTTGGGATGAGAACCTGCAGTAAATTAAACCCAACTTGGAATATGTACGTGTTTACATGTATGTACACACACACACACACACAGTGGCGGCTCGTGCAAAATCAACTGGAGGGACTGGAAGCCTCACACAACAGTAGGTGACCTACCTCAGGTATGAGTTGTAGTTGATGTTTTTGTTCACCTGTTCATCTGAGAGCTTGTATGTTGTGTTAATCTGAGCTGCAATGTTCACTTTACCCACCAACGATGTTATTCATATGTTTGGCTGACTGCTCATGTTTCTGTGGCAAATGGCTCAAGTCAGTCACACCACTGCCGAGTCCCCACCAAACAATAAGCAGAATAAAGTATTTGCCTCGTCACAACCACACAGCCATAAACGCTGCCGCAGTGGCGTAGCTAGAGTGTGTGACGCCCGGGGCGGCCCTTGAGTTTGCCCCCCCCCCTCCCCGTGACCCCACAGAAAATACATATTGCACAGTGACTCACTCTTATATATATATATATTAAATAGTTTGTGTACCATTATAATATTACTGTACTTTCACACACTCAAATATAGTATGCTTTAAATACACCCCAAACATACTTAAACTTTATAAGCAACAGTTAAAGAAAAAGCAAAAACGACATATAGGATAGGGAAAAAAGTGTAAAAAATTAGGACCATCTTTATTTCTGAAATGAAAACTACGACTTTCTACAAAGTAACTGTTCTTGTTTTTTTGTTGGCAAATTCTTCAATGACATTGTCAAAAACTATTTCATCTGTCAATTGTCAGACAAAAGCCACCCCGATCAAAGTAGGGGGCTTTTGTCTGGGTGGCTTTTGTCTGTACCCCAGTGAGGATAGTGTCTTAGTATAAAATCGCAATGCTGTGAAACAAAATCTTAATATTTAATCTCAGTACCACAGCAAAAGTCACATCAATATTTTTTAACCAATACTTTAATATTTCTTACCTTATAGTCTTATGTCTTCCAACGAAGTAAATAACTGGATCGAAAACACAAGAGAACTTAAAAGTCGTCTAGCCTCCCCTCGTCTTGTCACGATGGAGACTTGTGCAGAACTGAAGTGAATTGCTTGTAACTGGTGGATTGGTCGGCTGTACATGAACTGATATGACCCGAGACTGCATGGTTTTGCAGCTACTGGAGACGTTAATCCTTCCCTTTGTATCGGCGGCAAGTTAATCCTCGTCGTGTCTGACCTAACACCTGACCCACACCACATGAGCTCACTGGCGTACTTGTTTGAAGTTGTTTCCTTAATCCTCAACAGGTTACAGGTTGTGTGTGTGGCGGGGGGCCTCATAGCAAGGGTGTAGCTCATGACGTGGCCGTGATGATGTGGGTCAGGTGTTAGGTCAGACACGACAAGGATTAACTTGCCGCCGATACAAAGGGATGGATTAACGTCTCCAGTAGCTGCAGATATGGGTGATGAGCAGACCCAAAAGTGCCGCCCGGGGCGGACCGCCCCCCCCTAGCTACGCTAGTGCCTACTGGCTGGGAAGAAGGGGAGGTGAGGTGTTGACAGCCAGGCGGGGAGACTGCCAAGTACGTAGTTATCAGTGGAGGCGGGAGAGGTCAGGGACTCAGGATTATACAGAAGAGAGAGAGAGAGTTAAAATTTTTCGCTTTTATAATGTCACCGACTTGACTTGACAGAATGTAACTTGCATTGCTGGAATTTTGGCACGATAGCGATTAATTTGAGGATAAACATCCCATAATTTGCATTAGAGATAAAATTTTTAGACCTTTAGCTTAGTACATTTGAGTACAAAGTGAGTACAGTATAATACAGTGTGTTGTTCAAATTTATAGCTTTTTATTAATTAACTTATTACAGGGTGTGATAATTGTCCATAACTTTTACAGCATTACTGTTGGCTTTTAGTAGTTGTGCAACATATCTTAATGTTCCCCAGAAGATAAAAATTCACTAAATGCGTCCCGAACCATCGAAGCTGCCGGACTATCAGGTCCCGGGATAGCTGGGTCCAACCTGTGTGTTGCTGAATATTGAAAGTGTAGTATTAGTAAGGTTTAAAATTGTTTTATTTTGGCTTCGTTAAAATGAGAAAATAAAGGGTATGTGGCTGTATAGTAAAGTGAAAATGTTGAAATTATAGTTATTTAATGAGTAAAATACAAGTTACGAGGTTTGAAAGTGAAATTAAGGGGGTGGTTTGTTTATGACGAATGAATAGTTGAAGTTTAAATATATTGGTTTGTTCTTTTGAATAAATCATCATTAATGGAGTGTTCTAAGAGAGGGTGGTACTGTAGTAGTGATGAAGTTTATCAGTGTTGCCAAATAATAAGTAAATAATGTAAAGAAATAAATTGGTTGACTATGTAGAAGTGTTAATGTGGCGACTACAGAAGGGGTTAATTAGAATGTTTGAAGAAAGTAAAATAATGGGTGTGAAAAAAATTGGGAGGTCTAAATATTGAAATGTAAATACAGCATTCCCTTAAAGCTCGCTAGGTTAGGTAAAACGGACCCTGTGAGAAAGCAAAATCCACGAGTTTTTCATGCCAGTCCCAGGAGTGTGCAAAATACATATATAAATAGCTATATGCACATGTATAACAACATTATGCATGCATAAGATAATATAATATTAAAATGAAATAACATAAATAAATAAACATAAACATGAAATAATACTGTAGGTCCACTCAGTGATAGTTAGTTGTGGTAACGGCATGTACAAGCTGGACAATTTTGTAATTAAGAAGATTTGTGACCAGGTGAGAAGGCCAGGTCACCTGACCATCTGACCTGACCACCAACAGTTGTGTGCTATTTAAAGATTAGTAGGGTCATTACCTAATACCTGACCATTGTGGACCTGGTCTCACCCTCCTCTGTATATATACACCTTGATTTGTATTTCTCTCTCTAGTCTGTACTCACCCCTGAAGATGTGAATTACACGAAAGCGCTTGGGAACTTCGTGTTTCTTCTTTTCCTTGTGGTTATCAGCATATACCTAGATCACGCACCTACAGTGATTTACTTGCATATATATATATATATATATATATATATATATATATATATATATATATATATATATATTTATATATATATATATATATATATATATATATATATATATATATATATAGCTTGTCTTTATTAAGACATCAGAGGTACCGTTGTTTCCATTTTCCATGTAATGATTTTATCACATATATATATATATATATATATATATATATATATATATATATATATATATATATATATGTTTATTGTATTAAGGTTATGGGAGGAATGTAGTTAAATTGTATTGAAACATGGGATGAATGTTAGAAATGGAGAGATTAAATAAATTAGGAGAAATAGCAAAGTTGAGTGGAGGCAAATGGGGCATGGTGAAGTGTTAAAGGAGTATGGGAAGGGAGGTGTTTTAATGTGACAGGCAGGCAGTGAGGAAGGTGATTTGGAAACAAGACAAGGGGGTTAATATTTGAAGTAAGTACTGTGCTATACTGTACTGTACATCAGTTGTAGCATTAATGAGAGACATCTGTACTGTACATCAGTTGTAGCATTAATGAGAGACATCTGTACTGTACATCAGTTGTAGTATTAATGATGGACATCTGTACTGTACTGTACAACAGATGTACCATTAATAATGGCGTTACAGCTACATTTATTTCTATAAATTGAAGGGTAAAGTCTACATATCTCCCTTAATATTGATCTAATTGATCTGAAATTAATTATGAGCAAAGAAACCTTAGCTTAAAGTGCCACTTTGTTCAATGTTCTTATGAATGCAGCAGATGAGTGCTAACAGGCATTAGTCGATCCATAGTTTACCATGATGAGGTGTATCAAGTGAAACAAGTATATGGAGCAAGTAACAACATCACTACATTATAAGATGTTGTAACTGATAGACTAAGGTTAGGATATAAGTACCTCTGGCAGTATGTTCCTCAAGCAGATGTGAACAACACTATATGAAGTGTGTGGCCAGACATATGGCCACACACTCTGGCAGTATGCCAAGCACAAGACCAAATGTAAAGTGTGTGGCCAGACATATGGCCACACACTCTGGCAGTATGTCCCTCAGGCAGATGTGAACAAGACCAAATGTAAAGTGTGTGGCCAGACATATGACACAAGATGTTCCTCAAGCAGATGTGAACAACACTATATGTAGTGTGTGGCCAGACATATGGCCACACACTGTGGCAGTATGTTCCCCAGGCAGATGTGAACAAGGCCAAATGTAAAGTGTGTGGCCAGACATATGGCCACACACTGTGGCAGTATTTCCCTCAGGCAGATGTGAACAAGACCAAATGTAAAGTGTGTGGCCAGACATATGGCCACACACTGTGGCAGTATGTCCCTCAGGCAGATGTGAACAAGACCAAATGTAAAGTGTGTGGCCAGACATATGGCCACACACTCTGGCAGTATTTCCCTCAGGCAGATGTGAACAAGACTAAATGTAAAGTATGTGGCCAAACATATGGCCACACACTCCAAAACTACGTCCTTGACTGTGTGAAGATAGAACCTGAATATTAACCCCAAGTGCAGTACAGAACAGTACAGTATAATATGGATCAGTACAGTATAATATGGATCAGTACAGTATAATATGGATCAGAACAGAACAATACAGTATATTATGGAACAGTACAGTACAGTAGTCCCTCATTAATGCTACAACTGACATACAGTACAATACAGTACAATACAGTACAGTACTGTATAATATAGATCAGTACAGTACAGGGTTAAAGCTTCACATATAACAAAGACAATGTTGAATCTTGGTCAAACAAACACTAAAACAGTCACCAGGAAAGTGATCTGGACAATAAATACTGACTCCAGTTTACTGTATACACAATGTAATAAACTAGTGACCCAAATTTATATAAAATACTCATCTCTATGAGTTATTGGCAGTCACCTTCAACATGTTATTTAATAATATTCTATCTAGACTCATTTCCAGCAATAATTACGGTCATAAAACAGTAAATTATCATAAATATTACCTTGGCTCCTCCCCGGGCGTCGTCCAGAACAATCTAACATTTGGCTCTCAACTCAAAATATAAACCAGCCATGGAATCTTCTGCTCATTAAATTCCATAAATACAAAAACCTATTATTTTAATGATTCTTTACTCATAATGAATTTTAGGGCAATTACAGCAATATTAATTTAAGACATCCACATACAGTATCTGAAGACCAGCCATTACTGTACACATGTTCTACAATATTGGGGTTGTAATAAAATATTCAGCAATAGTTTAAATACTTATATCTCATTCTGTAAGATATTAATGTTTGTGGCACATCATGGCCAAACATAAAGTGTATACAGGCAGTCCCCGAGTTACGACCGTCAGACTTACCATCACCCGCACTTATGAACGGGATCTCAATACATTCACTGCAAAAAATTTTAATTAAAATCCCATTTTTTTCATTATTTTCATCATTATATAATGTTTAACATCACTTTATTTACATTATTTTTGATATATGGGATATTATTGTTGTTTTGTATGGGCTTTAACCTAACCTAAACTATGGGTCGAGGAACTTATCTCTGTTGTAAATTAGGGACGGCCTGTATTAACATAAAACTCTATATTCAAGTCCACAAAATTAATGCCATTCTTGTAGCAATCATTCTTTAAATACCATTGCTAGATAAACACATGCCAGTACTATTAGGAAAAGTTGTATATAAGAAGAGTAAATATCTAAATATTGTATGTTAATTTCAACAAGTCTTCTGCTTGACATGATCAAAAAACAAATTTTAACCCAGAGTTTGACATTTCAGCATTGGCTACTATAAGAAAATGACTGCCCAAGGATGAATTTATATATAACCAAGAAGAGTTACCTAACTAAGGTACAAGATGCTAACTGAACAATATATTAAACCCTGAGTTAACAAGTTGCATGACCTGGTGTCAAGGAATAGTCCTTGAAGACCGGACAACTCACCAACTGTACTGGCTAACCATTACCCAAGAACACCATCCACAAATCTATTAACATCCAGGTCCCCAATTACTGCTGGATACACAGACGCCTATCCATATGTCCGATTGACCTGACTTAACCCATCCAAACCTAACTTAACCACAGATCAATAAATTCTTGCACCCAAATAATACTTTAATAAATTTGTTGATTTTCTAAGCTGGATTTAAGATTTATTGTTTGACTTGAAATAAAAATCCATTCCTCGTTGCTTGGGTTCTCTTCCCTGATTGGTCCACGCGTTCTTGTGTTTAGTGGTCCTCGACGTCTGAAACAGGAAGTGGTTTTAGTACAGGTATTCAGTGCTGTGTAGTATATTAAGCTTCAAAAAGACCTTAACTTAACCTAACTTAACCAGACCTAACACAATCTAACCAAACTTATCACAATACAACCTAATCTGACCTAACTTAAGCTTACTTAGGGAGCTAATCTTCAGGTGAGCACTTGAGGGTAACTAATCTTCAGGTGCTTCATAAAGGCTAAAATTATGACAGAATCTCTACCCTAATACACCTCGGCTACATCACCAACAACAGCCATAAGCCGTCATGCAGAACTCACCACCCTGTGATCCTGGCGACTCCACTCTGGGGCCACAACGGCAGGATTGGGGTAATATTCTCCGAGGACACTCCTGCTTTGCCTAGGTCGTGCAGGAACATGTCTTCCAAAATTGAACCATGGCACCTCTGATCTCGAGGTTCCGGGACCCACGTCTTGGGATGAACTCACCCTAGGGAGATGGAAATGCGTAGGGTGGCGGGTTAATGAGGTGATAATCGTCCCTCAGTTTGAAATTTATCCGTATAAACGTCAAACCCTAACCTAACGACCGACACCTTCGGGTCATAGTCCAGTCCTTGTTTCACCATATTGAATTTCCTGTTTTCTCGGTGGATTGCGATGCCTGCGAGTAGTTCCAGTTGCGTAGTTACTGCATACATAAGTGGTCTAACTGAGAGAGAGAGAGAGAGAGAGAGAGGCATTGCTTTATGAATGCATCTATAAATGGATTAAGATTAATATAAAGATGCCTATATGCTGTGATATAAAATTAAAAAGGCATTAATATATGCCTTAATGCTACTGTGACTGTGTGTAAGTTTATAATAAGTACTGTGTAGGTTTATTGGGATATATAGAGGTGGATAATAACTATGAATGTGGCTATGTGATATCTTATTGAAAGAAGCGATGATGTAGTTAAATTTATGGAAAGTACTGTCCGGATTACTTATTATTTTAACCTATGAAATGCCTGATGATTAACCCCCAAGTGCTCACCTGAAGATTAACCCCAAGTGCTCACCTGAAGATTAACCCCAAATGCTCACCTGAAGAATTAGCCCCCAAGTGCTCACCTGAAGATTAACCCCCAAATGCTCACCTGAAAATTAACCCCCAAGTGCTCACCTGAAGATTAACCCCCAAGTGCTCACCTGATGTGAGTTAACCCCCAAGTGCTCACCTCAAGATTAACCCCCAAATTAACACCTGAAGATTAACCCCAAGTGCTCACCTGTAGATTAACCCCAAGTGCTCACACGAAGATTAACCCCCCAAGTGCTCACCTGGTGCTTAAAGTGCTCACCTGAAGATTAACCCCAAATGCTCACCTGAAGATTAACCCCAAGTGCTCACCTGAAGATTAACCCCCAAGTGCTCACGAAGATTAACCTTAAACCAGCCTGAACTACCCCCCTCAAACTATCACCAGGGCTGGTAGCTAAGGAGGGGTAGGGGGCAATATTCAGGTGTTCCATAGGTCAAACCCACCAAATGGCCTCGTTCGCAGTCCTAACTACCCCAAACACAACCCTCAGGCCTCATCTCACCAACTCATTTCGAACCATTCAGCTTTTAAGTCTCCGAAGTCCAAACCCAGGTCCTTAATGAGAGAGAAATGAGGCTACGTTCTGACGTACGATTACTCATCCAGCCGTCTCTTTTAACTCCAGCATGTTGGCATCTACGAGCGGCACTCCTGTTTGACCATCTGTGAATAAATAGTAATATGTAACAATGCTAATAATAATAATAATTTAATCATCGACTCAAACTTATAATTGATTTAAGCATGTATAGACAATGAAAGGTTCAACTGCCAATTTAAAAATAATAATAGTTAAATTATCATACAAGTTTACCCTGTATCTAATACTGTACCACCCTAACCTAACACAGCACTCTACCATAATAATAATAATGGTTTGCCTAAATTGTATCTGATTTTTCAAGAAGGGGATAGATCATTTATCCTCTAACTACAGCCAATCAGTCTAACATCAATTGTTGGCAAATTACTGGAAGCAATCATCTCAGAAGCTCTATTCGAAATCACCTGGAGAAGCTTGCGATTGATCAATGATTTGATTCAGCATGGCTTCTGGCGGATGTTCTTGCCTAACTAATCTATTAACATTCTTTCATCAGTTTTCAGATGGGTGGACAGGGGCACAAATTATGATGTGGTATATCTCGACTTCTTAAAGCCCGACAGAGTCCCCACGAAAGACTAATTAGAAGGTAGAAGCACATGGCATCAAAGGTGACATCCTTAAATGGATTAGGGCATGGTTACAGGACTAGGGAAACAGCAGTGAGCATTAGCGGCACTAAGTCCCATTGGAGCAACGTCACAGAGTGGGAGTTCCCCCAAGGCTCAGTACCCGGACCATTATTATTTATTATATACATAAACGACATAGATATTGGCATAGACAGCAACATAAGTAAATTTACGGCACAGTGACACTAAAATAGGGCGTGTTATTAAATCTGAGGACTAGAAGGCAAAACTACAGAAAATCTAAACAAAATTTTTAGAATGGTCTGAAAAAATGGCAGATGAAATTCAGCGTTGACAAATGTAAAAGTACTCAGTATAGGAGGCGTAAAACAGGAAACCAGATACCAGATGAACAACGATGCCATAGAAATCGACTCTTGAGAGAGATTTAGGAGTAATGGTAAGTAGGAACCTTAAACCAAGTAAACAATGTGTCTTTGCTGCGTAACAAGGCTAATAAAGTACTTGGGTTCATACAAAGGAGTGTTAGTTACAAGACTAAGCGAGGTCATCCTAAAACTGTATACTTGCTCTTGTGAGACCACACCTGGACCTACGCCCAGTTCAGTTCTACAGTCGCAGTAATATCACAGAATGGATAGAATCCTTGGAAAGAATTCAGAGGAGAATGACAAGACTAATCCAGGCATTAGGAAACTTGAGTATAGAGACAGGTTAAAGAAAGCATCTTAATTTGCACTCCCTCGAGAGAGGCGCATTAGGCGGGCGACCTGATAGAGGTGTATAAGTGGAAGGCAGGGCTAAACAAGGGAGGACATTACAAGGTACTGAAGCTATCCAGCCAGGGCGAACTTCGTAACAATGGTTTTAAATTAGACAAATTTAGATTTAGAAGCGTGAAATAGGTAAACACTGGTTTGGAAACAGTAGTGGATGAATGGAACAAGTTACCAAATATCATCATTAACTCGAATCGCTGAATGAAAGCTTCAAACTAGGTTGGATGCTTATATATGAGCAATAGGGGTTGGGTGTAAACAGGACTGCCCAGTATGGGTAATGGAAGGCCGCTGCAGTTTCCTCCATTCTTATGTTCTTATGTAGCGGGGATGGTCTGCCCAAAAGGCCCCCTAGACATGAATTTGTTTAAGGTGTAGAAGCTGTAAGCCAACACAACAACAATGCCCTAGGTTAATGAGCTGCATGACTCAGTGTTTAAAGATTAGCTGTGGCCAACACAACAACCATGCCCTAGGTTAATGAGCTGCATGACCCAGTGTTTAAGGTGTAGAAGCTGTCGCCAACACAACAATAACCATGCCCTAGGTTAATAGGCTGCATGACCCAGTGTTTAAGGTGTAGAAGCTGTCGCCAACACAACAACCATGTACCCTAGGTTAATGAGCTGCATGACCCAGTGTTTAAGGTGTAAGAAACATGCATAACACAACAACCACACCCTGAGTTACAAACTGCATGATCCAGTGTCAAGGAATAGTCGAGAAGACGGACAACTCACCAACTGCACTGGCTAACCATTACCCCCAGAACACCATCCACAAATCTACTAACATCCAAGTCCCAATTACTGCTGGGTAGACCCGAGGCAAATGGTAAAGAAACTTTGCCCATAGTTTCACCCTGGCCGAGGATCAGACCTTGGACCCACATAGTTTATTGTGAGGTAGGGATGCTAATCATTACACCATACCTAACCTAACCCAGCACTAACCTACCCTACCTGCATACCTAACCCTCACCTAGCTACCCTAATCTAACCCTAACTAACCCAGGGTGTCTAATCTTCCAGGTGGCCCCAGGTAACAGGTAACACATACACACCTTTCCGCGTCTGAAAAACCTCTTGGATCATTCTTCCATTGTCTCTTTTTGCCCATAATGCGGAAGGATAGAACCTTGTGATTGTTCAGCCGTACTTCACACAAACAAATCTGAAATACGTCAAATAAATTATAGATCATTATTATTTTTGTCTTATCATTATCAACATCATCACTCATTTAAAATAGTAAAGATACTTTAAAATAGCCAAACTTACTTAAAATAGCCAAAATACTGAAAAATAGCCAAAAGAAATACTGAGAAATAGCCAACAAAATTACTTAAAATAGCCCAAATACTCACTTAAAATAGCCAAAATCACTTAAAATAGCCAAAAAACACTTAAAAATAGACCCCCAAATGCTTAAAATAGCTACCCAAATACTCACTTAAAATAGTCACAAGCCAGTCATCTCAAACACCACGATGCATTACTCTGATTGGCGATTGGCTTTATTATTTCTTGATTTCAGCGAAGATATATGGCGAGGTGAGAGGCAACCGTGGGCTAACCTGAAGGCATTAAGAGGAATAATTTATTGGCATGTGACGTTGGGAGGCATTTTCTTAAGGGCATAAGGAAGGCAAGGAGGCATTTTTATTAAGGACATGAGGAAGTCCAGAGGCATTTTCTTTTAAGGGCATGAGGGAAGGCAGAGGCATTTTTCTTAGGGGTGTATGGCGTGGAGGCATTTATTAAAGGCATGAGGCACTAGGAGGCATTTTCTTAACATACACTAACAAAGAGGCATTTTGTTAAAGGCATTCATTGGCGAGAGAGAATTTACCACCGCGGACTCAACAGAGTGAGTACTCCTCCCCAATAGTCGTTCCTCGTCTCCCTTGTACTTAGCAGCGTTGTTTAGAGTCCCAAGTACCGTTTCACCTGCCCGTTCCAGACCGGACGTTTCCCGCCAGAAACGGAAAAGCTGTTCGTCATAGATTGGGGCATCTGTGAATAACCACACACATCACGGCTTCCCATAAAATAAATAAATCAAATAAATTAATGGAGTGTGATGTTTACCTCTCAGTTCATTAGCGATGCGTGTGAAAATTAACATCAAATCTATCCCACACAAAAAATAGCTTAAATAAACAGATCAAGCTGAGGTTTATCTTTCATTCTATTGGCGGTTTGTATTAAAATGAGCGTGAAAATCACTATCAAAACACCCCGGCAAAACAAATTAAAAAACTCCAAACAAACAACACCCATTGTTTACCTTTTAACACCGAGTAAGCTCTAGTGTGGGTGAAATCTCGAGGTCAATGCCAGTGGCTTTAATTTCTCGGCATTACTATGGGGCCTAGGACTGGAACTCTCTTGGCCGACCGACTTTTTCTAAATCCGTGAAAGTGTCGGGATGCTGTAAGGGAATGGGGATTTGGTGAGCATCAGGATTGATACGACCAAATTAATATGTATCAATCTCTACCCTCTCTCTATACTCTCTCTCTCTCTCTCTCTCTCTCTCTCTCTCTCTCGCTCTATCTGGTACCTATTAATAGCTTACAGACTCACTTATTGGCGGCAAGCGGTAAGTCATTCTTGTGGTATTGGTCGAACCCCAGAAAGAATGAATTTGAGCCCCAGCAGCCTTACAGCGTTCTCGCAAATCGTTGACATCGCCTCCTCTCTAAGTTACCTGGGTGAAACACGAGGTTAGCGTAAATATTGGAGTCTAGGGTTCGAAAAGCATTATGATAATTTAGGACTAGATGCGATTGAATGTATTTATTTAACGGGCTATAGAGATGATAGTCCATTATATGAGGGTCCGTTAGATGTGAAACCTCCATTTAATGAACTATATAGAGATGATAGTCCATTATATGAGGGTCCGTTAGATGTGAAACCTCATTTAATGAACTATATAGATGATAGTCCATTATATGAGGGTCCGTTAGATGTGAAACCCCCATTTAATGAACTATATAGAGATGAGAAGTTCTACATTTACATGGTCGTTAGATGTGAAACCCCATTTAATGAACTATATAGAGATGATAGTCCATTACATCGAGGGTCCGTTAGATGTGAAACCCCCATTTAATGAACTATATAGGAATGATAGTCCATTATATATCGAGGGTCGTTAGATGTGAAACCCCAATGAACTATATAGAGATAGTCCATTATATTGAGTTTTACTTATAACTATGAAGTAAAAAAGTGGAAAAATACTTAACCTAGATACAGTACTTATAATAATTCATCATACATATTACTTATAATTGTAAGTGAACAATGAAAGTCACACGTACTAAACTTTACCTCTTCCTGATAAACAACAAAATAGGAGGCTGCGATGGTCTTTAAAATCGACGGAATAATTACCTCTGGCTCCCCAAACCCTCTCACCAACAAATTAGAAACAGAAAATAAATGGCAGAATAAATCATCGACGATAATTATATAAACGTCGATATTTTCCACGATGATAAAATCTAAACGTCGGTTAGATTAGGTTTTGGTTAGGTTAGGTTAGCATTAGGTTAAGTTAGGTCACATTAGCATTCTGTTGCATTAGGTTTGGTTAGATTAGGTTTTGCATTAGAACAGGTTAGGTTTTGCATTATGTTAAGTTAATTCACACATTAGCATTATGTTATGTTAGGTTTTAGTTGCGTTAGGTTTTGCATTAGAACAGGTTAGAGTTAACTTGTGGAAGGTTAAGTTAGGTCACATGTAGCATTATGTTCACGTTAGGTTTGGTTAGATTAGGTTGGCATTAGAGCTGGTTATGTTCGCATTATTATGTTACGTTAGGTTTGGTTAGATTAGGTTGGCATTAGAAGGACTGGTTAGGTTTGGTTAGCACTAACACTCACACTCCCTCACCGAGCGTAAAGTGTTTCTCCAGATCCTGGACACTCTGAAGGAGGAGGAACTTGTACGATGGTTTCGGTCTTGGAGAAACAGAAGTGATAGGAGTCTCTTGGAAGTGTCTGGGTCGAAGCAATACCGCGGGGAACGACCTACGTCGGCGTTGGTATTTGCTTTCATCAACACCTGTGACGATAACAGCATCGATCGTTACAATATTCAACGAGCTATTAAGACTAGATCATGAACAGAGGCCATTTGGTGATTTTTAGCCTCAATGGATCCCACCTGAACATTAGCCCTCCTCTCCTCGAAGATAGTTTCACCGGAATTGGTTAAGCTGGGGGGTGACTTCTGGCGCGCAGGGGGTTAATCTACAGGTGAGCGCGGGGAGTTAATCTTCAGTGACGCGGGAGCCTAATCTTCAGGTGAGCACTTGGGGGAACTAATCTTCAGGTGAGCACTTGGGGGCTAATCTTTTCCTGACATTCCAAATAATTTCGCAACCAGCAAGACGTGAATAAATATTAATTAAATAGATAGATAGATAGATAAACAGGCGGATAGATGGATGAAATAATCAACAAATGAAAATACTTATTCAGGACTAACAACACATAACTACCTCATTATTATCATTGGTATCGCAAATCGTTTCCGCAGCCAACAGAAGGCGACGGATTTATTCTTTACGTTCATCTTGTGGAAGAGACGTGGGTTCTGTGTTTCTGCAATAGGACACGTAGTTTGGTTGGGTTGGGTTTGGGGGCCTATTGGGGCTGGGGAGAACAAATTAACAAGCATCTGGGGCCTATTAGAACAGGGAGAACAAATTAACAATCTGGGGCCTATTAGAACAGGGAGAACAAATTAACATCTGGGGCCTATTAGAACAGGGAGAACAAATTAACAAGAATCTGGGGCCTATTAGAACAGGGAGAACAAATTAACAAGAATCTGGGGCCTATTAGAACAGGGAGAACAAATTAACAAGCATCTGGGGCCTATTAGAACAGGGAGAACAAATTAACCACCAACTGGGGCCCATTAGGACAAGGGTCTATAAGCTCTGGGGTCTATACGGGCAAACCATACCACCTCACCTGCCAAGTCCCCGTTACAACTCTTCTTATTGCTCGACCACCAATAGCTGTTAACATCAATACTATCCACCTCTCTTATCTTATCTTCCAGTTAATACTATTTTAAGTCATCAATCGGCCATAAATCGTCTCCATAGATCAATAATGGAGGTTAAGTTGGGTTATTGGCTGCCCTGTAGAGTCACCACCGTCTCATGTCGCTTTGTTTACTTCCTGGTGTTGTGTAAGGAAACATTCGACTATTATATGTATTTCCGCTTTATAATTCACTTAAAAATCAATTATAGCTTAAATAAATATCTTAATATTTAAAATATATTTATGTGTAAATATATATGTATAAAATTATTTAATTTATCTAAATTATTTACATAATAAGAACACAATATTTAAAGGTTGTTACATCGTCGAATACTCTTACATAAGGCATAACAAACAATGTTGAGAATAAACACGAACAAAGTGGAATTAACCATTTATTTCTTTATATTTATAAATATTCCTTCAATCATTAAATAAAAAAACTTTTATTTAAATATATGATAAAATAATAGTAACGATAAATTAGATATGTTTTAATTAATGACTGAAAATCAGATGATCGTGTTCGCGGTAATTTTACAACACTATAATGTTTACGTAATTGTCAACAGAGATCAATGGTACAAAGAATTTATATTATCCGTAAAAAAATATACTGTAATATATATATAAACTTTAAAGACTTAATGAGGAATATTATAAACGATTTCCATATTTAATTAAATAAACTAACGTACACATAATACATGAGGTGAAATATACCATACAAGATAAGGGAAAAATAATTATCTCATTTCTCTAATTTCTCATATAATTAGTGTCAACGTGTCATTAGTAGTCGTAATAAAGTAATTGATGGCAACCTAACCTAACGTCACCTAACATGACCTAAGGTAACATAATTTAACATAACCATCCCTCCTCCTCGTCACAGGCCTGGCACTAGAGACCTGCCACTCTTTGCCATAAACAGATAAAATGTCCCGGCAACTTTCCCCCCACACACTCATCATTCTCTCACTTTATATAACTTGACAGAACCTATGACCCTTCAGGCTTTTACGCCCTTAATGTACGAGTCATAAAGGTAATTATAAACTTTTCATACTTCCCTGTTGGGCGCTGTAAACGCTTCACCTTGCACAGGATGTAAGGGGGTGCCCAATAAACTAGCCCCCTCTGAATCTTTAACATAACCTAACCATTAAAAGAAAAGTGATAAAAAATAATCCATATTGACATAACCGGCAACTCAGACTATATAACATGATGGAGCTACAGATCTCGAGTCAGTATTTGTCCCCAGGGTCTACTGATAACACCCAACTACACAACAGGCAACGATAAACAGGTAGGTCACATCAACAGAACCACATAAAATTAACAGGCCATTCATAACAAAAACAGAAAAACGGATAATACAAACAGGTACTCAAGGGGTTAAGTCATACTCAAGGGGTTAAGTTATACTCAAGGGGTTAAGTTATACTCAAGGGGTTAAGTTATACTCAAGGTGTTAAGTTATACTCAAGGGGTTAAGTTATACTCAAGGGGTTAAGTCATGGTTTGAGGGTTGTTGAGTTTTAAAGAAATTTATTATTTATAATCCTGAATTTGATAAAGCAACTTAAAATTTAATATCCAGCTTATCAGAATTCATTAGCATGGTCTGATAACGTATCTAACTGACTCACTTAAGCTACCACACAAAGATGGATTCTCAAAGGTTCCTACGTTAAGTTTTCCTCCTAACTGGTGATGTGAGAACGTATCTAACTGACTCACTTAAGCTACCACACAAAGATGGATTCTCAAAGGTTCCTACGTTAAGTTTTCCTCCTAACTGGTGATGTGAGAACGTATCTAACTGACTCACTTAAGCTACCGCACAAAGATGGATTCTCAAAGGTTCCTACGTTAAGTTTTCCTCCTAACTGGTGATGTGAGAACGTATCTAACTGACCACTTAAGCTACCACACAAAGATGGATTCTCAAAGGTTCCTACGTTAAGTTTTCCTCCTAACTGGTGATGTGAGAACGTATCTAACTGATCCACTTAAGCTACCACACAAAGATGGATTCTCAAAGGTTCCTACGTTAAGTTTTCCTCCTAACTGGTGATGTGAGAACGTATCTAACTGATCCACTTACCACACAAGATGGATTCTCAGCCTACGTTATGTTTTCCTCCTAACTGGTGATGTGAGAACGTATCTAACTGACTCACTTAAGCTACCGCACAAAGATGGATTCTCAAAGGTTCCTACGTTAAGTTTTCCTCCTAACTGGTGATGTGAGAACGTATCTAACTGACTCACTTAAGCTACCACACAAAGATGGATTCTCAAAGGTTCCTACGTTAAGTTTTCCTCCTAACTGGTGATGTGAGAACGTATCTAACTGACTCACTTAAGCTACCACACAAAGATGGATTCTCAAAGGTTCCTACGTTAAGTTTTCCTCCTAACTGGTGATGTGAGAACGTATCTAACTGACTCACTTAAGCTACCACACAAAGATGGATTCTCAAAGGTTCCTACGTTAAGTTTTCCTCCTAACTGGTGATGTGAGAACGTATCTAACTGACTCACTTAAGCTACCACACAAAGATGGATTCTCAAAGGTTCCTACGTTAAGTTTTCCTCCTAACTGGTGATGTGAGAACGTATCTAACTGACTCACTTAAGCTACCACACAAAGATGGATTCTCAAAGGTTCCTACGTTAAGTTTTCCTCCTAACTGGTGATGTGAGAACGTATCTAACTGACTCACTTAAGCTACCACACAAAGATGGATTCTCAAAGGTTCCTACGTTAAGTTTTCCTCCTAACTGGTGATGTGAGAACGTATCTAACTGACTCACTTAAGCTACCACACAAAGATGGATTCTCAAAGGTTCCTACGTTAAGTTTTCCTCCTAACTGGTGATGTGAGAACGTATCTAACTGACTCACTTAAGCTACCACACAAAGATGGATTCTCAAAGGTTCCTACGTTAAGTTTTCCTCCTAACTGGTGATGTGAGAACGTATCTAACTGTCTCACTTAAGCTACCACACAAAGATGGATTCTCAAAGGTTCCTACGTTAAGTTTTCCTCCTAACTGGTGATGTGAGAACGTATCTAACTGACTCACTTAAGCTACCACACAAAGATGGATTCTCAAAGGTTCCTACGTTAAGTTTTCCTCCTAACTGGTGATGTGAGAACGTATCTAACTGACTCACTTAAGCTACCACACAAAGATGGATTCTCAAAGGTTCCTACGTTAAGTTTTCCTCCTAACTGGTGATGTGAGAACGTATCTAACTGACTCACTTAAGCTACCACACAAAGATGGATTCTCAAAGGTTCCTACGTTAAGTTTTCCTCCTAACTGGTGATGTGAGAACGTATCTAACTGATCCACTTAAGCTACCACACAAAGATGGATTCTCAAAGGTTCCTACGTTAAGTTTTCCGCTTCTATTTAAAACAGTAGAGTATATTTGACCATAAGCAAAGTCATTTTGATATAGAAAATCCAGACCATATCTAGTTATATAAATTACATAACCAGCATTAACTGGTACTAAAAAATCACCCACGCCCATGGATTAGACATGATACTAGCTAGGATTAGTTGAAAGACGGTTATCCCTGGTGTATGATGATTTAACCCCTTGAGTATGATGATTTAACCCCTTGAGCATGATGATTTAACCCCTTGAGCATGATGATTTAACCCCTTGAGTATGATGATTTAACCCCTTGAGTATGATGATTTAACCCCTTGAGTATGATGATTTAACCCCTTGAGTATGATGATTTAACCCCTTGAGTATGATGCTATTATATTCAATGGGTTAAGTAAGAAAGGAGGTTACGTTAGGTTAGGTTAGGTAACATTTTTTTGCACATTTTCTTACGTATATTGCTTATTTGGGACATATTTCACCTAATTTTTGGCGTATTTTTCATAATTAGACACATTTTTACGTTTTTTTTGCTACTTTTTACGTTTATGGCTAATTTTTATGCATCTTGGCCTTTTTTACATGTTTGGCTATTTGTTTACGTTTTTTGGCCATTTTTACACATTTTGGCCTTTTTTTTTACATGTTTGGCTATTTTGTTACGTGTTTGGCCTTTTTTTACGTTTTTGGCTATTTTTTCAGGTTAAACCATGGTCCGTGTTGGGAGGATCGGCTGTAGGCTGAACAGATGGACTTCCAAATGCCTACAACGCGTCCTGGTATTGTGTTGTGTTGTGTTGTGTGCTGTATAGAGGGTAAGTGTGTGTGTGTGTGTGTGTGTGTGTGTGTGTGTGTGTGTGTGTGTGTGTGTGTGTGTTCCTCCTTCGTTCTGTCTGTCTGTCTCTGTTTTAGGCATTTATAGTGTACATGTGTGTATTTGTGTGTGTGTATATGTATGTATCTGTGTGCGTGTGTGTATCTATGTATGTATAAGTATATGTATGATTTATAAAAATATTTACCATTCAATTATTTTTATCATTACTTATAAATAGACTTTTTGTAAGTTACTTAGACAATTCCTTTAACCTGATTGGTGGAAAATTCATAACAAATAAAATGGCGGCACTAATTACTTAGTTTAAGGTGATTATAGTTTAAACCTAACCTAACCTAACCTAACCTAACCTCAAATCCGAAAGTAATCATAGTATTTAATTTTTCAGCCTACCCATCCTCTCTGACCAACACAGCCTACCTGATGTAGTGATGGGTTGTCAGACCACAGCTTACATCTCAGAAACTCTAGGCCTTCCCTAGGTCAAGTGTAGGGTAACTCTGCGGTTGACCAAGGATTGTAAACCAACTAGCTCCCCCTCCCATGTCACACATGTAAGAGGGCACCAGCCGGCTCTCTCCCAATATACACAATGTCCTACACCGCAGAGGGGGGCCAGTCTTGACCCGACATTAGGAGGGGTCAAGTGTAACTCTGCGGTCGACCAAGGATTGTAAATCAGCCTAGCTCCCCTCCCATGTGACATGTGGCCCCAACAAAACATGTAAGAAGGCACCAGCTGACCCTCTTCCGATATACAATAACCTACTCTCTGAACAAAGGCCGGACCTGACCTCACAATTAGCCAGGTCACTTGTAACCCTTGGAGCCCAACTCAAGGCCTCTCGTGTTACACGGCCCCACCTGACGACTTCTCCTTACATCTCAGAAACTCCAGTCTGACCCGACGTTTGGGAAGTCAAGTGTAGGGGAACTCTCACGGTTGCTCTCCCAATATACACATGGCCCCACCTGATGACTTTCCCAGATAGTTCTGAAAAGTCCAGGCCTGACCGCACATTTGCGGGGTCAAATGTAAGGAGACCCTTCGCCGCCCCCCAGGCCAGCTGAACCTGACGGCTCGCTTCCCAATATATAGGACGTCCTGGTCCTCCCTCCACGATTCGCAGAGAAGTAGTTGTCTTGTAACAAGGTGGCCAGCTACGACACCACTAGTGCTGCTCCAGCGAAGTCAGGGCCGGAGGCAAGCCGCCTCCGGTCAGGACCGAGACTTCCCTCCGGTGTCCCAGCTAAGCAGGCGCCCTCCCGACACCAGTGGTCCCGCTAAGCAGACTACCTGCTAGGCCTCCCCTAGGTCACGTGAGTGTTTGTCAGAGCTTTCCATGGGATGAGTTACTTACGTGGGAAGTGTATTCATTTCATGTTCGTGTCCGAGAATCAGAGTGTCTAGTAACGTAATATGATGTCCTAGTAACGTAAACATAATGTCCTAGTAACTTCAATAGAAGGTGTTATTAATGTGTCCATGTCATGTCGTTAATTAATAAAGAGTTGTAACGAAGCAGTGTTTGAGAAGTCGCCCTTAAGACGTAATAGAAGTGTATTGACGTATAAGATACGATAAGTGTACTGACAGTGTAAATAACTATCACGGCCACGCTACCAAAGTCTTCCTCTCTTTATACTCTTATACTATCAATATTCTACCTATATGTAATCTTCTTCTTGTGAGTTTTGTCTCATTACACTGACCTGCAAAGCCTATCTGACCTACCCATCCTCTCTGACCAACACAGCCTACCTGACCTGCAAAGCCTATCTGACCTACCCATCCTCTCTGACCAACACAGCCCACCTGACCTTCACAGCCTACCTAATCTGCCCCAAGTGTACAACCTACCAAAAGTTCCTCAACACGGGCCAAACACCTTACCTAAACAGATCATAAAAACCAAACCCTGTGTTAAATTTCCTCCTCTATACAATATATTATTTAGTAACATTTATTGGCAAGTATATAGGAGTAACGAGACTATTATCTATATCTATAATGCATTTTACGATAACCGAACGCTAGCTAATCCGAAACCAATAATAAGAGTTTTAACTATGGTCGATCGGATTTGGTTTAATGTTAAGGTTTATTGTGTGTTGTGGTTTAATATCGACTTACCTGTTGTAGTTAGAGTGAGTGGGTTTAAGTATATGTGGTATAAGACCTGGGGTAATTATAAAGATGGTTTATTACAGCCTTATATGTTAGAGTGCCCAATACCAACTGAATATAACCACTTGGTACCTCTATCTATGTCACTTATTGAACAACCTTGTTACCAACCCACTAACAACCTTAGGGTAATTAACAAGCAGCCTGTTAATGGGAAGAAAAATGACTTTGTAGTTTGTGTTAAAGGATTGTTATATGGTAATAATGATCAAAGTGTGAGGTTAATTGAGTGGTTAGAGGTGTTATTTCAATTAGGGGCTAACAAGGTCGTTATCTATGACCTGAATATCCCTTACAATATGACCCGTGTGCTTAACTACTACCAGAAACGAGGTCAAGTTCAAGTGATCCCATTGACCTTACCTGGATACCTACCTAACCTAGCTAGTATAATGAGTCAATATTTAAAGAGGAAATACACCACCAAACGACAGAACGAGGTGATTCCCTATAATGATTGTTTGTATAATAATATGAATCTATATAAATTTGTGGTATTATTAGACACCGATGAATTTATAATGCCCAGGAAAGCAAAATCATGGAAAGATGTAATAAGCCTCGTCGCCCCTAAGGCATTATCAGGTCAGGAGCATACTAAATCATCTTACTGTGCTAGGAATATTTACTTCCTTGATTCTATGCAAAAAAAACAAACAACCTCAAAATATATCCCCAAATTCATGTATTTCACCAACAACCTCTATCGAGCTGTTAACTACACCAAACCAGGGGCTTATGTCAAATGTTACCACGACACCGAGCGAGTATTAACCTTGCACAACCACTACCCGTTCTCCTGCCTTCGAGACCACTGTTCGAATCCCTCTATACCTACAACTATCGCCCATCTACAGCATTATCGCTCTGGGTGTGTAAACGAGCTCAAAAAACAGTGCCATATCTTCCTAAACAAAACGCGTGTGGATGACGGCATTACTCGCTTCAGTAAAGCTATTGTTCACAACTCTTTACGCACACTCAGACATCTAGGAATGTTTATGGGTTAGTTAATTCAGTTCCATACCATAACACCGTCCTATGAACTGTCAGTTAAGAGAGACTGTGTTAAGTGATAAGTCTTAAGTCTTATCAATAATTATAAAAAAAAATCCCCAGGTAAAAATTCCTTCTTTCCAGGATTAATTTTATTATGACGTCAATGTCAGTGACTCATATACCTGTGTAACTTGTAAATGATTATATGTAAGCTTCTGAAATAAATGTGTATCTTGTAAATTATTATATGTAAGCTTCTGAAATAAATGTGTAACTTGTAAATGATTATATGTAAGCTTGTGAAATAAATGTGTAACTTGTAAATGATTATATGTAAGCTTGTGAAATAAATGTGTAACTTGTAAATTATTATATATAAGCTTGTGAAATAAATGTGTAACTTGTAAATTATTATATGTAAGCTTGTGAAATAAATGTGTAACTTGTATGTAAGCTTGTGAAATAAATGTGTAATGAAATAAATGATTATATGTAAGCTTGTGAAATAAATGTGTAACTTGTAAATGATTATATGTAAGCTTGTGAAATAAATGTGTAACTTGTAAATTATTATATATAAGCTTGTGAAATAAATGTGTAACTTGTAAATTATTATATGTAAGCTTGTGAAATAAATGTGTAACTTGTAAATTATTATATGTAAGCTTGTGAAATAAATGTAAGTTAAATTATCTACCAATATCTGTAATCTATATCTTATTATTATTAAAATTTACAAGTATTTGGTTATGACAAAGTGTAAACCAATAATTTAGAAGGATGTTGAAAATAAATGAAATTCTTCCCATAAAAATACGCGACAAACATCATCAATAATAATAATACCATCAAAACAACAATAATTCCTTAACTAATTAATCATATTTACATAATTAATCAGAAATTCACAAAATAATTAGGTTAGATTAGATTAAGTTAATACTCTAGTTAGATTAGATTAAGTTAGTACTCTAGTTAGGTTAAAATTACGGTGTTTAATCAAGGGGTAAAATAAACTAGGGTGTCTAATCTTCAGGTAATTGACAAAACTTAAATTACTTACCCTTTCATTTTAGTTGTGTCAGTCAGCTCTATGAATGCTGGTCTTGTGTGTTTGGTTGAGTGCTGTACGAGAAGTTTTCCATTGATCGGCAACGTGTGTTTGGAAACGTGGTTGGGTGGTTGCCAGACGTACGATTTTAGCTGTAATGATGTTTTAGGTTTTAGTAAATACATTTAATCCATTATATAGATAGATATATATATAGACAGATAGATAAATAGATAGATAGATAGATAGATACTCATAACACTAGCATACATATCTGCTATTTAATAAACTTCAATAACAAGTTAAAAAATATATAAAATAATCACATAATTATTAAATAAACGTATAAAAAATAGTTCTAGACTAACCTGTACTCCAGACTGGCGAAGAGAAGCCTGGCGAACGATGTCTTTCACCTGCCAAGTTCTTTGAAGCATTTGGTCGATAATCATGAATTTATTTGTTTAATTTATTCCACGATTTTAAATATTTTCTAAGATGAAAGTAATGTATTTTGTCTATATTGTTGTTAGTCCTAAGGCTCCGAGTCTAATTTAGGTAATAAAACCTCCATTAAAAGAAGAATTTACTAATATTAACGATTACATAGGGAGAATAGGCAGAGCCATTAATAATTCGTAAAATTACATTAATTATCCCTTAAATATTAAAGTTTTCTATGTATATGTTGAAATAGATTAAAATTACATGCGTTATACCTTAATTATGCTTTCTGTAACTGCTTAATTTTGTTATATATCTAAAAATGGCGCTAAAATATATCAAAACACTTACACAAATACATTTTAGTTATTCCAAGTTGGGAAAAATTATTAATACCGAACTACATTTTATCCGGACCGAAGTTAGGATAATAAATTCTAGTGAAATGTATTGACTCGTAATTTAAAGCTATGGTACACTTGTTATGTACCCCGGCACAGCCTCGGTACACTTATGGTACACTTGTTATGTACCCCGGCACAGCCTCGGTACACTTATGGTACACTTGTTATGTACCCCGGCACAGCCTCGGTACACTTATGGTACACTTGTTATGTACCCCGGCACAGCCTCGGTACACTTATGGTACACTTGTTATGTACCCCGGCACAGCCTCGGTACACTTATGGTACACTTGTTATGTACCCCGGCACAGCCTCGGTACACTTATGGTACACTTGTTATGTACCCCGGCACAGCCTCGGTACACTTATGGTCCACTTGTTATGTACCCCGGCACAGCCTCGGTACACTTATGGTACACTTGTTATGTACCCCGGCACAGCCTCGGTACACTTATGGTACACTTGTTATGTACCCCGGCACAGCCTCGGTACACTTATGGTACACTTGTTATGTACCCCGGCACAGCCTCGGTACACTTATGGTACACTTGTTATGTACCCCGGCACAGCCTCGGTACACTTATGGTACACTTGTTATGTACCCCGGCACAGCCTCGGTACACTTATGGTACACTTGTTATGTACCCCGGCACAGCCTCGGTACACTTATGGTACACTTGTTATGTACCCCGGCACAGCCTCGGTACACTTATGGTACACTTGTTATGTACCCCGGCACAGCCTCGGTACACTTATGGTACACTTGTTATGTACCCCGGCACAGCCTCGGTACACTTATGGTACACTTGTTATGTACCCCGGCACAGCCTCGGTACACTTATGGTACACTTGTTATGTACCCTGGCACAGCCTCGGTACACTTATGGTACACTTGTTATGTACCCCGGCACAGCCTCGGTACACTTATGGTACACTTGTTATGTACCCCGGCACAGCCTCGGTACACTTATGGTACACTTGTTATGTACCCCGGCACAGCCTCGGTACACTTATGGTACACTTGTTATGTACCCCGGCACAGCCTCGGTACACTTATGGTACACTTTTATGTATATTTTCACATCTTTGAGGTTAAAAAGTAGTTTTAAATGATAAAATACTATAGGCCTAGGTCCGGCTTGGTGTCACAGCCTATATACGAAATAAAGCGGCTTTATTTTAGTATAGGCTGGCTTATATCCGGCTTTATAACTAGAAGAAATTAAACCAATAGTTTATTAAGACTGTAGTGTCGGTAACCGCACTGAAATTAACTACCATTGCGCCCTTACCGACTAATATCACGATGCGCTTCATATGGCAACACCGCGGTGCATGCAAGATTAAATTAAAATATAAATTATCTTACATTAATATTAACAGCAACGATGACAATTAATATTATATATATATGCTTAATATTTCTCTATTTTTGTGTCTAATTGTGGATTAAAAAATTTATTTGAGTACAGTTTAAGAGTTGCCATTTAGAAATATTTACATTATTATTATACGTGTTATTGAAAGGTGTATTACCCTTTAAAGGTGTTTATTTACACTTGTCAGCTGTTGTTTGTTGACATGCAAACTCGTGACGTAACCAATCGTTTGTTTACATCCTACTAATGACGTCACAGCCGCCATGATGGCTTTCGGGCATAATATTCATATACATAAAATTCATACATAGACATTATTTAACATTAGTTATAGTTAATATATAATAAATATATAAAAGATTAATATAACTGGGTAATATTATGTGCGTGAGATGCCATTATGGAAGAATTTATTCACATTTATTAAGTTTAAAAATATTAGACAAAATTAAATTATAACTTAAAATACTAAAATATTTACAAATTTACTTTATAAAATAGTTAATAATAGAGACATCTTACCTCGGGCGGTGATTGGCTGGAATATACCAAGGTCCTCGATGCTCATTGGCTGAGTCATTCCCGTGGGCCAAAAAGCATGATAGTGATCTCAACGCTGATTGGTTATTTACATAAAGTTTGGGAGAGAGGCGACCAATGACTTACTCCGCATATAAATCTCCCTCCCCCCCTCCCTCCCCCCCCCCTACAAGTGAGGTAAGTGAGGTGTCTTGGAGCTCTCACTTTCCCTCAAAATTGGATGGCCTTATATAGGAGGGTGGGAGGGAAAGTAGGAACATGTAAGTCTTCAGAAAATCATTATTGGAACATTGTTTTGGATGGCCTACGAACCTAAGTCAATTATGATTATTATTATTATTATTATTATTATTATTGTGTTTTAGGCACATTATTTAGCCAATCAGAGCCAGAGTTTGACAATGTCTTAACCAATAGGACTGTGCGTTGAAAAATCGTAAGAAAATGATCACAAATAAACGTAATTCCCACCAAATCTTATGTTCAAAATAGCCGCCAAGTGTCACTGAAACTTTAGGTGACTTCAAAATAGCCGCCAAGTGTCACTGAAACTTTAGGTGACTTCAAAATAGCCGCCAAGTGTCACTGAAACTTAAAATGACTTCAATATGGCCGACAAATTACACTAAGACTATAGATACGTTTTTGCCCTTAAGGGGAGACAAAATGGCGGCCAATCTGTACTGTGACTGTAGTTAATACGTTTTCTTATAG